AAGGTTGTACTGCGTTGAAGACAGACACATAAGGTTGTACTGCGTTGAAGACAGACACATAAGGTTGTACTGCGTTGAAGACAGACACATAAGGTTGTACTGCGTTGAAACAGTTGCTGCGTAACTGCTTCGGTTAGTAACATTTTGACCCGTAGCCAACATAATTTTCTGAAATACAGAGTTACTCAACACACAATAAAACAGCTATTCCTTTCATACTCTCGCATAACAATGTAACAAAAGAACATGTAGCAGATACTACCTTTTCACTCTATTGGATATTTTTATACGATTTTTCTAAATTTCATCGTAAGAAGTATGATCTCGTATGTTATTTTAAACGTCGCCGTGAAATCTTTATTTTGTTCATATTTTGATAACAAAATTCTAGACATTTAAGGTATGATGTTTTAATAAGTAAAGAAATAAACAAAACTAGTTTGAATGTTTAGCACTATTTTTTAAAATACCTACAGCAGTAAGTTTCGTTTAGCTTGATAAAACAATCTTTTTACCCAAATCGTTTCCGATTTATCGGCTGACAGAAATGGTTACCATGGAAAGCATTGCCTTGTTCGTACTAAAACGACTATTTGGTAGAACACTTTGCTTTAAATACCCAATTATTCATAAGAAAAATCCCCAGATATATAGATAACCTAAATTTATTTCCCCACTTCCATGGGAATACAATATCCTCACATCATATCAAACTTTTTACAAAGACAGTTAATGAAATTAAAGTAACAATATGGCTTATATATAATTTAATATGTAAATACTGCCATGCCTTTTACCAAGAATAACTTCAGTTTGTTCGTTACCACTCAATTCTGAAAATTTTACATGATCGTTTACATTCTCAAGCACTGCACCCCTTTTCTGTGCTTGACCACCGCAAGAGATTCTGACAATAATAATAAATACAACAATTCAGATAGTTTCCATGTTTCTTTAATGTTTGATTTTGATGGACTTCGAGGGTGATTCATGTCCTTTTGAAACAGAGCTTCCCTCACTGTAAGACTGTGTTCACAAGGTTTACCCATTACAGTATATCTCCTGTCAGTGTGTAATAACACATCTGGGGGAGTATATCTCCTGTCAGAGTGTAATAACACATTTGGGGGAGTATATCTCCTCTCAGTGTGTAATAACACATTTGGGGGAGTATATCT